CCTTATTACTTCATAGGTGTTTCTTATTTGCTTGCTTTTTGACCTAAACTAATACTCAGTTTAGTACTTTTTATTACTTTTGTCCACTTTTTATCCATAGTGAATACTCAGAGTACCTGTCAAAGGTCTGGAAAGAAATGCCCTAAGTGGGAGTTTTCTAAGTGCTTGGAGAAGTGAGAGTGTCCCTGGACTAGTATATGGCACCCCTGTGCTTGTCTTCAAGGGCTATGCTGCATTCTGGCGCCTTTGTTCAAAAGTCAGGGTGTAACTTTAAATCTGCAGTCAACTGACAGACGGTGTAGGAAACCTTTCCAAGCAGACAGGCTGCTGCTGGCCACCTTGCTCTCACGCAGACACGCCTGGCTCTAAAGGCCGCTAGCTCCCAGGACCACCTGAAGACCTCACCTAAGCCTTTATCTGCCCCACTCATCACAAACCTGGATTCCACTATTTCCCTCGCCTTGAAAACTAGCGAGCTGCTCACCACTGATACCGGAAGCTTCCGATCTGAGCATATCAACCGAGAGGCGTCACCTGCATGTTTGTGGGGATGCTGAGGACTCCGCTGGCCTTGAGGGCTGTTTCCCTGTTGTAAGAAGAGGGCTGCTCCTTTCACCATGAAAAAGCTCTCACTTAAGCTGGGAAGAACAAAACCAGAGTACAGTTAGTCTGGAATTCAGACAACAAGGTGGACAAAGATAGCTGCAAAGGAAAAGTGTGACGGGGGACAACTGGCATGGAGAACGCAAATGGGATGAAATGGGTTTTAACACTAATTTCACATTGTACTCTTCTCAAACCCGTGCTGAACGCGTGCTGATGGAGAGTGTGCATGAGGAAATGACGTCATTGTGGCTGGGAGCTGCTCAGCTGACTGAGACTCATACCGACCCCATGTGACAGTAGAACCACCCCACAGAGTTTCCAAGGCTGTAAATCTCTACAGAAGCGGACTGTCTCATCTTTCTCCCATGGAGCAGCTGGTGGGTTTGAACCACTGACCTTCTGGTTGGCAGCCAAATGCTTTAACCATTACACTAACTACACTACCAGAGGTCCTTAAGTGCATAACTAGCTTCTTTTAAAAAACACAACGTTATTTCTGGGCACCACCAGGACCCTGCAAAAGAAGCTTGCTGTAATGCGGCATCTCCCCAAAAGAGACAGCAACTCTAGTTGGGAGATGCTGATCCCCTTTGTGAACTTTACACACTCTCATCGATCCTTGCTTCCAAATCCTTGACCTTTTGTTTGTTATTAAACATTTATAAAGGACCCAGAATGGTGCTTGGCACATCACTAGTAATTCTTTGTATTAATCATTTATTGTATTTTTGTTGCTGTTGAAACCATGCACAGCAAACACACACACCAATTCAACAACCTGTACATGTGCAATTCAGTGACAACACGCTTCGAGTCGTGCAGCCATTCCCACCCCTTGGCGAGTAGCTCGTCCTCCATGAACACACTCACTGCCCCTCTAAGCTTCTGATCCAACCTTTCAAGCTGCTGTTGTCAATTTGACACCTTACTGACAGTTCTTTAAACAGCACACAGTGCGTAAGGTGGACATCTTTACAAATTAAGTTAAACTATGATTTGGTGTAACCAAGACTTCAGGACGTGTTTTTTGGTTTAAGGTTTAAAGATTATCTCAGGTCAATAGTTTCAGGGGTTCATAGAAGGCTCCAAAAAGTCCCTGACTTTTAGCAGCTTCACTGCTTCTCGGTGGCTTCCCTTGATGAGACACAGGGAATGAAATTACATTTTAACTCTTTGTTTGCCTGTGAAGGAAAGCTACTGCCGTAATTTAACTTAGCCAAAGTGGCTCTGTCACCACCCCTGGCAGAAACCCAGAAGGTGGCCCACTGACTGGCAGTGGAGCGAGTCTCTGGCCTTTGTTATTTTAACAAGCAACAGCACCTGTAACTGAACTCTCACATTTTTAAAGTTGTAATTTAAAAAAATGTCACTTTCATGATTTGTCTATCAAGAAAAAAAAACTTCAGCTTATGCAGACATTCAGACTGTATAAGAACAAGAAATCTTTGTCTAGTAATTACTACCAATATTTTTAAAGTATTACCAACTCTGAAAACTACCCAGAAGCTACATTGACATGTTAACAGTGATTCTGAGGGTTGGACTGTTGCTGCTAATGTGCCATCAAGTCGGACCCGACTCACAGCGACTCCTCCTTGGGTTTCTGAGGCAGGATCACTACAGAAGTAGATTGCCCCATCTTCCCTCCGAGGAGTGGCTGGTGGGTTTGAACCGCCAGCCTTCTGGACTAGTCTGATCATTTCCCTTCCACGTCTTAGTACCACCCCAAAATTTTATACTGAGCAAGGATTAACTTTCTTAGATGACTACTTTTGATTTTCAAAGACGACAAAACACATAGCATACTTCATAGGGGCATCGAGTATAGTAAAACAATATTTTTATTTTCTAATTTTGTGAAAGATCATAGTTCAAATTATAGGGAACTATCAAAATCATTCATTCCCTCTCCAGCAACCAAGTCACAAACAAATGATTTGAAGGGAAAATCTGCAAGAGAGAAGAATCCTTTAAAAAAACAAACACAACACAAAACCCACAACCCTGGACTTAAGCAAATGGATTCCCAGTAAAAATACAAGGATGTTTCCTGTGATATAAAAACCATGAAAAATCACCTCTGCCCACCAGCCAAAAAACCAAACCCACTGCCACCGAGTCGATTCCAACTCACAGAGACCCCCAGTGGGTTTCCAAGGCTGTAAATCTTTACAGAAGTACATCGCCCCATCTTCCTCCTGCAGAGAGGCTGGTGGGTGTGAACCACTAACTTCCTGGTTAGCAGCCAAATGCCTTTACCCACTGCGCCACCAGAGTTCCTTCACCTACGCCCCAGACATCTAAAATTAGTAGTGAAATGTTCTAATCCTGGAATGAGAAAACGACTCAGCTAAATCTACAACTCCACTTCAAGTGGCAGGAAAACATACCCAGGAACTAGCACTTAAGTCAGCTGAGTCAGAATGACTGTGGTCTTCCCCACTATGAAGTCCACAATAAAATCTGTTGTCTGGTTGAATTCTCAAGCTAGACAGTGGCCGCTCAAATATTAAATGACAGCGCTTGGTCTGACCGCTCTTACGCGGCCTCTGAATAACAGCCAGTGGTCTTGTTCCACGATGCTAAGACTTCTCGTTTGCATAGCACTGCTTCATGTACTCTCTCCACTGTGCTGTAATCATCCTGTCCACAAGACTCTGTGCTGCCGAGCAGATTTCAAGTCACAGTGACCCCACGCGACAGAGTAGAATGCTCCACACGGTTTCCTAGCTGTAATCTTTCGGGACGGAGCCCTGGCTGTACAGCGGCTAAGCATGCTCTGCTAACCAAAAGGTCGGCAGCTAGAACCCAGGTGCTCTGCAGGAGAAAGATGTGGCAGTCTGCTTCTGTAAAGATTCAAAAAATGAAACAAAACACAAACCCACTGCCATTAAGTCAATTCAGACCCATGGCAACCCCCACAGGGTTTCCAAAGCTGTCAGTCTCTACAGAAGCAGACTGCTCATCTTTCTCCCACAGAGCAGCCGGGGGTTTCGAATCACTGATCTTTTCGGTTACCAGCCCAACGCCTTAACCACAGCTCCCTCTCTGTAAAGAGTATAGCCGTGGAAACCCTTTGGGGCAGTTCTAATCTATCCTATATGGTCACCATGGGTTGGAATCAACTCAACGGCAATGTGTTTAACCCCTTTTTAGTTTAATCTTTATGGGAGCAGATTGCCAGGTCTTCCGACTCCTACAGAGAAGCTGGTGAACTCCAATCGCCTTTTGGTTAGATACTAAACCACTGCGCCACCAGGGCTCTTTCCAGTCTGTTATGATTGTATAATTGTGTATATCTCAAGGACTAAGGAGCTCAGGATTATAAATAATGACAGAAATGAGAAGCACCCCTTCCTTAGAGTCCCACCCTTGCCCCCGGGAAGCACAAAGCCCTTTGAACCCCCTTTGGCCAGTCTAAGATCCAGCCTGTCCTCTTTCAGCAGGTACCAAAACCACCTACCACCTTTCCCTCCCACGCCTAGACCTGCCACCCTCTTGTTCCTTCAAATTTTACAAACAAGTGTGTTTTACCCATAGATCACTTCCTGCTTAATCTGATCAAAACTTGACAGAGCTCCCCAAGGGCCTCCCAAACCTATGAAATTTAAAACAATAATCCTTTTGAAACTGCTGGGAAATCTTTCCAAAGCAACATCAACCCCTTTTGTTCATGAGTTTTAAAAAAATACTCCATACGGACCTTAAACGAAAGGTCTGGAAACAGCCAACCACTAATGGTGGTAACCTTTAACTTGGAAATCACAGCAAAAATTTCCCCTTGGTTTCCTTTACATTTCTTTTGCAAAAAAAAAAAAAAGAAAGAAAGAAAAAAAAGGAGCAATGCAAAAGAGGCAGCTTTGTATTGCGTGGTGACGCACCAGGGTGGCTGCCTCTCGGTGTTCCCGGGGCTGCGGACAATCAGTGCCACCTCCCTACACGGGGAGTCACGGGGACTGCACTGGCGGCAGCCCTGCCCCTGAAACGTCTTGCCTCTGCTCCCTCATGGCCATCGGTATCGGGGCTGACGGTGAGGAGCAAGAGCCGAGCTGCAGACAAGGCAGAGAGCACGTTAGCCAGGGCTGGGAGACGAGCCTGTGCCCTGGGAATGCAGTCAGCGGATACAGCGGAGGGGACAACCACACAAGATGACTCCCAGGGCTGACATTCACTGCGGGGAGGGGGGAGGCCCCAGAACGCGGCCAGTCACAGGGTTTATGAAAACAAGATGCAGAGTCTCCCAGTGACCCTGTGCTTCCTGTCTGTGGGACTGAGCTCAGCGCGGGCCCGGACCCCGGGCGTCCGCTGTGCCGACAAACACGCCTTCCCACTGCCAGCATGTCGCTTTCCTTCACCAAGATCCCAGCTCGTCCACCTCAAAGTGCCCTGCGAGGCAGTGCTTTAAGAATCCTGGTTGTGATGACACACACTTTGTTCAACGTGGCAGACCTTAGGTACTTGTGGCAAGGAAATACAAAGCCCCTCCCAGCTACGGAACAGCCAGTCTTCCGAAAAAGGAGTTCAGACTCTTAAAAAAGAGTACAGTTACAGAAAGGTGGTGGGAGCTCTGGTAGCACTTGACTGTTAATCAGAAGGCTGGAGGTTCAAACCCACCAGCCACTCCTCAGAAGGAAGGTTGGGCAATCTACTTCCGTAGTGATACCGCCTCGGAAACCCAATGAGGGTTGCTATGAGTAGGATTCGACTCGACGGCACATAACAACAACAACAACAACACAGAAAGGTGGCTGGATGGTACAAAGGGTGACAAACTTAGCTGTGAGCTCAAAGGCTGGCAGTTCGAGCCCCTTCAGAGCTGCCTTGGAAGCTAGGCCTGGTGATCTGCTTCTGCCAAGAAAATTCAATGCAGTCGCTCTACTCTGCAGACATGGGGTCACCATGAATTAGTATCATTGTGACAGCAGCTAAGTCCAACAACAAAGTTATAGAAGGCCAGCCCTAACCGCTAACACCAAACCTGTCCCTGAGGGGACAAGCCTGTCCTTGTCCCTGCGGGGGCAGAACGCTTCAG